TCTATAGTTGGATCTGCAGCAGGTTGTTCTGTAGTTGTAGCTTCAATAGGGTCCATAGGTTGTTCTATAGTTGGATCTGCAGCAGGTTGTTCTGTAGTTGTAGCTTCAATAGGGTCCATAGGTTGTTCTATAGTTGGATCTGCAGCAGGTTGTTCTGTAGTTGTAGCTTCAATAGGGTCCATAGGTTGTTCTATAGTTGGATCTGCAGCAGGTTGTTCTGTAGTTGTAGCTTCAATAGGGTCCATAGGTTGTTCTATAGTTGGATCTGCAGCAGGTTGTTCTGTAGCTGAGTTTTCAATAGGTTGTTCTGTAGTTGAAGCTTCAACAATAGGCTGTTCTGTAGCTTCAGCTTCAATGGGGTCCATAGGTTGTTGTGTAGCTTCAGCTTCAGTAGGTGCTGGCGTATCTGCATTAGATACTTGCGTATTTGCAGTAATTCCCATAGCTTCGTCTAACTCCTGATCATTGGGCATCCTTCCAAGGCCTAGACTTAGATACCAAGCTACCTCTTCTCTAGATTTAGGTGCTGGCGTATCTGTGGTAGTTCCGGCAGCTTCAGTAGGTTGTTCTGTAGCTGAGTTTTCAATAGGTTGTTCTGTAGCTGAGTTTTCAATAGGTTGTTCTGTAGCTGAGTTTTCAATAGGTTGTTCTGTAGCTGAGTTTTCAATAGGTTGTTCTGTAGCTGAGTTTTCAGTAGGTTGTTCTGTAGCTGAGTTTTCAATAGGTTGTTCTGTAGCTGAGTTTTCAATAGGTTGTTCTGTAGCTGAGTTTTCAGTAGGTTGTTCTGTAGTTGAAGCTTCAATAGGCTGTGCTGTAGTTGGATCTTCAACAATAGGTTGTTCTGTAGTTGTGGCTTCAATAGGTTGTTATGTATATACCACATCTTCCAAAAGCTTCTTTATTTCATCATCTTTAGCTAAGTCTCTTGGAGTGTTATCATTTATATCCTTCAATAAAGGATTTGCGCCCATCTCTAATAAAACCTGTACTGTAGCTATTGTGCCAGACTCAGCAGCATAATGTAGGGGGGTTCTTCCATCTTGATCTTTAGCATTAACATCTGTGCCTCCTGCTACTAGAGCCTTCACTTCATCTATCTGGCCATTCTTAACAGCTTCATGTAGTAGTTGTTCTTTTTCCGCCTTTTCCAAAAGCTGATTTGTCTCTTCATTCCCACTCATTATCCTATCATTTATACCCTTGAATATAGAATAAACTTCATAAAACATAATAAAACCTCCTAAATATGTTAAAAAAAATCTTACAACTAAAAAAATCTCTTTAAAGATCTTGATAATATGTCTACGTCGTGTGCACGCTGCTCCACATTTTCAGCAGAGACAGTAGGACTTGAAGTATGCCCCTCAGCTCCGAGAGATTCTGAGTGATATATATTTAATTAGCTGTACTGACTTAATATTGTTTTTAAATAAATTAGATATTGAAGAAAAAGCGTTGCTATACTACTTTAGCCCTCATTGGCTTCCCATGAAAAACCCTCTCCAAAATCTTTAAAACTTTCTTCAATTTCTTTAGATAAAGATTAACTACTCATAACAGAACCTCCATTATTTAAGATATCAAAGACTGCAGCTATGCAGTCTTTGTAGATTTAGTGGCAGTTTGCAGTGTTATAAAAGGCCGGAGGTTGTTTATATCTTAGGAATAATCGTTTCCTTGACATTTTTTCAGTTCCGCACGTGCCTTATGCGTCAAATATATCTCCAGTATAGGAAGCATCCATTCTGGATAGGAAGAATCCAGTCCTGGGATTTTTAATACATCAGCATTCGTAAGATCAAAATCATCAAACATAAAAAACCTCCAATAAAAAATATATTAAAAAAATCTTACAATCCTTTTAAAGATTTTAAAATAGATCCGAGTGATACCACACATCTGCACTATGGGGGTCCAGAAGGCTTCCATAAGGTGGATAGGTTCTTGCTTGTAAGACTGAGCTGTCAAAGAAACCAGTACTTATAAAATCATTCATAATAAAACCTCCTATATTTCAATATTAATGGGTGGCATATCAGGGAAAAAGCGTTGTCATGCCACTTTAATACATCGCACGCGATGCAATGTCGCCTTCAAATCCATCGTATTCAGATACATAGTCACTTATGTCATTGTTATAATATGACAAATCTATTTCTGAATCAAGATCAAAAAGCTCCATATTTACAGCAGATAATTCCGAGCTCGGAGTATCATAATCAAATTCTGGATATAAGCGGGATGTAGTTGACTGCTGACCGCTGAGCCTATTCTGCAAATCAACAGGATCGATGTCTTTTGTCCACTCATGTATTTGAGCGTCACTGACATTACATTTTTGGGGTGTATTAGCTTTCTTTAAACACTCTATCCCCATATCTTCAAAAAATTTTTTATTAGCTATTGATAAAGCTTCAGAATCATTATTTATAGCACTGTTCATAATAAAACCTCCTATGTTTATATTAGTTAAAATATTATTAAAAAAAGTTTACAATTCTTTTAAAAATCCATTAAAGATCTTTACAATATGTCGTTCGCATTAGGCTCCACATTACCATCAGGTACCAGGTGTGAAGTATGATCATACTCACTAACTTCAGGGTATTCTGTGTTATCCATAGGTTTAGATAACTGAGATGGCTGTGCTGATTTAATGTTGCCTTTAAACCAACTAGCTATTGAAGAAAAAGCGCTTTCATACGCCTTGCCTACCTCATTGATTCCCTGTTTAAAACCCTCAACGAAACCCTCGCCAAAGCTTTGAACATCATTAGAGAAAGATTCAATACTCATAACAAAACCTCCTATCTTTTAGAAATCTTTAATTTAAAATGGGTCTGCATTATATACCGCATTTTCAGTGAGCTCAGGTAGATGTACTTGCTGTACTGACTGAATGCTGTTTTTAAACAAGTCAGATATTGAAGCAAAAGCGGTGTCATACCATTTTATGACCTCTTGACTTCCTTGTACAAAACCATCAGCAAAACCATCGTTAAAATTTTTAATACCTTCGGAGAGAGTTGCAATATCTTTGGAGAGAGATTCAACATCCTGAGAGAAAGATTTAAGACTCATAATAAAACCTCCTATATTATTTATGTTAGTAGATATATCGTGCTTTTTTTCATAGCATTCATTTTTCTCGCTCTGAATTGTGTGCAGTCATATTAATGTGTTTTATAATGTCACTATCGGTGAAAAACCATCCATCACTAGAACTGTTGTGAGGAGGGTGGGTGCATGCAGTATCGTATACATCTGCAATATAGAAAAAATCAGTATTCATAAAAAAACCTCCAATATTTATATTAACAAGATACCAAAGACTGCAATTGTGCAGTCTTCGTGGGTTTAATTAATATATAATTATATTATATATTAGTAGGTAGCAGAGAATTCTTAGGTGTTATCTATATATCGCTGCTTAATAGTCCTCATCCATGTCGATTTGACCACGGTGACGTAATGCGCGTACATCAAATATACCTTCAGTATAGGAAGAATCCATTCCTGCATTGTCAAAGAAACCAGTATTCATATTCATAAAATCAATATCAGAAAACATAATAAAACCTCCAATATTTTAATAGAAAAAGAGTACAAAGACTGCAACTGTGCAGTCTTTGTAGATTTAATTTATGTGCCATTAACCTCTGTTGGAATAATAACGATAATTATTATTAGGAGGCATAAAAATCAAAGTGGGATCACCATCGGCTGCCGCTTCATAATAAGAGGAAGAATCAATATTCATAAATCAATATCAGAAAACATAATAAAACCTCCTATATTTCAATGTCAATGGGTGGCATATCATGGAAAAAGCGTTGTGATGCAATGTTGCCTTCACATTCATCGTATTCAGATACATAATTTTCAGCAGATAATTCCGAACCCGTAGTCCCATCAGTAGGTTCTGAATATA